GCGCAAACAGAACCAGGCAGACTGTGCGGCATGTAGCGGCATGGCATGCGCATCCACAAGAACGCCCTCTGTATGTATCTATCCGTTGAAGGTTCCAGGCTGCCTGGGCCCGTGTGTTTCACTCGCCTGTCTTTCAACATCTCGCACTAAAATGGTTCTCACAGCTGATGGGCCGGGGCCAGAGTTGGATTGGGGCGGGAGGCGGTGCGGCCCCTGTGGCTCCAATGCGCCATGGATGACTTCGACGCCGTTCCTTGGAGGACGGCAGGGGAGGTGTGAGGGGGCAGTCTGGGAGTCGCTCCATATTAATATTGATTCGCCTCCAGATGGGGAGGGGCAGGTGACATGGCAAAGGAAGTGGCAGGATGTGATGGAGCAGGCAAAACAGAACCGTACGCGGGAGAGAGGTGATAGAAGGGCCAGAAGCAAAACGTGATGCGACAAAGAGGTTTGGACGAAGATGGCGGGAAGGGCCTAAATATCGCAAGTAAGGCGCCAGGAAACCTTGGCAATTTTCCATAGTTTGTGGCTTGCTCACTTGCAATATTTGGGGGAGTCATTGTAGCCGGACTTTACTTTCCCGAAATCTGAGACTGTGTTGTCCAGGAGTGTGGTGGCACCCTCTCTGCGCCGTGCTGAAGGGCTTCTCGATGGTATGTGGGTCCGGGGGGCGACATCAGACTGGGGTAATTTCTAGGGTTCCAACCGACACGCGGAGGCCTTCAAGCCCTCGTCACCCTTGTTTCCAGCAGGTTCCGCGTCCCTTTGCCACAAAGAGCCCATACTGTCCGTGGCAGGCTCACATGATACAACCGCGGGCCACAAATCAATACACTTTGGAGCCGCTGTCCATCCTCAGCGCGCAGCATGAACAGGTTGCTCAGCGCAATGATCGGCACAGTCCTTGAGTTTTGAGCTGCCGCCGTGGCAGAGAGCTGTGATTTGTGAGTTCATACTTCTTTGATCCATTAGACTCTCTCTCTCTCTCTCTCTCTCTCTCTCTCTCTCTCTCTCTCTCTCTCTCCCCCTCTCTCTCTCTCTCTGCGTGTGTGCGCGTGTTGTGTGTGTGTGTGTGTGTTTGCTAGATGAACCAGCTCTGAACATCACATGTGGGACATGGCCTCACCCATCTCTCAGGCTGCCGGGTCTGCAGATCCGGCAGGTTGCTGGGAGGGGCCATGGCATCGAGGATTGGGAGGCTCGTCGGGCTTGGGTGCGGGGACAGCTCGTTCCCAGACTGAAACCGTCGACTGGCGGGTGCTTGGGCGCGCTGAAGCGGTTTGGTTGGAGTTTTAGAGGCTTGAAGTTTTGGACCATGCGCTCCTTGCAGAGGGCCGCTCTTGGCATTGTGGCCGGCCGAGCGTTTTGGCTTCATTTTCGGCTAGGTCCGCGGAACGCGTCTAGCCCAGCCGCTTAGCCCCTCCACAATGGGAGTGTCTTGGCTATTGGCTTTGCCCGCTCTGCGGCTGGCTCATGGGCAGCAGGCCGGCACCGTAACCCCCGAGGAGCCCGGGGCTCAGATCGGCGCAGCGCGCCCTGGAAGTTGGCGTAGGGCCAAAATGGTGGCGACTTAAGGTCCCACTCACTTTTCTCATGCTCGGGGGATCAACCTCAGTGATGGCAGGCCTCCAGAGAGAGAGAGAGAGAGAGCTGCGGGTTAAGACTGGAACAAATGGATTTGCAGAGCCCCATTTCCCCGCAAATAGGTGTGGCCGCGGTTTCCAATTCTTTACTGCTGGGATCCCAGGTTTTCGGTATGTCGCTCAAATGGACGCCTTTTTGTTTTGAAAGGGAATCCAGAAAGAAACAAGCCAATTACAAAAACAACAACGTATGATTCGAGAGACCCGCCCAGTCATTTGGTTGAGAAACCCAACGCCCATTTGAGAAAATTGAGAAGAACCATTATTTTCAGAACCAATATGACTCCCTTCGGCCTTTCAAGCGACTCGCGCGAAAGCAGCGAGTCTGACTCGGCTCAAGGACTCCGCCGCTGGTCATCCAGCAATGCACCGTTGCGGGGGGCTGCGTAGACGAGCAGGCCTACTTGGTGCTGGACTCCAACTGGCGGTGGGTGCACAATGTCGGGGGCTATCAGAACTGCTTCACCCGCAAAGGCTCAGTGTAGAGAGAGAGAGAGAGCGAGATATACCATTCTTTATTATTCATTTATATATGTTATATATATAATATTATATATTCTTATACCATCTGCGGACCTGAAACAATTGTGTGTCACAAGGTGCCGTGTTCCATCTGCAAGCCAAACAAGTCAATGTCAGTCCTATGAATATAGATCCGCTAGTCCAAAGCAAATGTCTCAGCTGGAAGTTGTTGTAAGTCATGTATCGAAGTTGGCCCTAATCTATGTAAATCAAAAAGTAGTGAGAAAATGACTAGGACGTGATGAGGAAGTGATGAAGAAGTGATGAAGTGATGCGGAAGTGATGATGGAGTGGCGAGGAAGTGACGAGGAAGTGATGAGGAAGTGAGGAACTGATGAGGAAGTGACGAGGAAGTGACGAGGAAGTGACGAGGAAGTGACGAGGGTTTGACGAGGAAGTGGTGAGAAAGTGGTGAGGAAGTGATGAGGACACCGTTGTTTGTCAGAACTCATGCGGTGCAAAGCACCAGCCATTTGTGACGATCGCAGAAGAAACGTTTGTAAAAGCGTGGCTTGTAGATCCTTGCATGGAGGAGGCCATACTTCCTCAGTCAAATGGCAAGCAGACCTATGCCGCCGGAGCCATCTATGGAATGGCAACATCTTCTGTTGAAGGCTGCGTTATAGTAGTGCTATGCCGCGCTGGAATGAAACAGTCTGCTTTTCAGCGCTTTCGATGAGCCGCAAGTCTAGCACCATTTGAAGACATATATCTAAAAATGAGTAAGACCATTTGATATTTTTGACAAAGACCAAAGAAAGTAAGGGAAACTCACAAACAAGAAAGACAAAACACGAAAAATCCAAAAACACAATCCTCATGGCAGCTCTCGTGTCTGGCGAAGTGTCCCCAGGTGGTGCAGGGTTGGCCTTATACCCCGTCTCTAAGCATTTAGGTTGTTCATGGGGGGAGGCCTGAGCATATATATATATATATATACATAATACACGTATATGTGTATTTACATACACATACAGATGTATGACGATGTCCATGTTAGGGTGGGTGGGTGGGTTGAATTCTTGCATTTGTTCCTTCGACGGGTTTGGCAGGCATGCACTTCCTTTTGTGAGGTTGGGCAAAATAGATTGAAGCAACGCTGCCTTTGCAAACAGGATGTTCAAAGACTAGTTGTTTTGATACATCTCTAAAAACAAAGCGATCGTGGCGCAAGGGCAACACCATGTTTGTTTTTGCGCATCACATCCCTATGGCGAACAGTTCTGGTCATATCTTTGGCAGGTCTGTTGCATCATGGTCCGTTCCCAACAGGCTCCCTGCTTGCCATAGCGTGCATGAGCCCAACACTCTGGAAAGCTGTTTGCGCGGGGCAGCGGGGCAGGCTGGAATGATGAGTTCTGCCCAGACCCGGAGACCTGCAAGAATAACTGTGCCCTGGAAGGCGCAACCGGTGCAACAAATGGGGGGGGGGGGGGGCTTGCAGGGGCCAACTTACAACCATGTTTGAGGGCGAAAAATAGACCACCATTCTTTTGGCAACTTCCTTTCGTTTCTTCGAAAGGTGGCCAGGGTCTGATTATTGCAACGTTACTGGGTGAGTCTGTGGCTTGGTTTTTGAACAGACAGACAAGGTAGGATTTCATACCTGTAGAACTCACATAACATGTTGTGGGTTGTGATCATGTACCAGGGCCGTTTCCACCTAGGGTCACTTCCGTTTTTGTTTAGTGCTTTCGATTCGGTGAATTTCTTCGCGTCCGGGCGGCTTGACAGGCGTGGACGCCCGGGGCTACGAGCGCAACTACGGTGTGCATCCCATGCTGGATGAGGAGCAGAAGCCGAGCGGCGTCCAGCTGGACTTCATGACGCGTGGGGGCAACGTGGGCTCCCGGCTTTATGTGCGGGAGGAGAATGAGGGGTGTGGGATGGGACTTGCAGCCCCGCATTTCAATGTGATGGGTTGGGGGGAGCTCACATGAGAGCTTGTGAGAGTAGGGGCTGTGGTCTGCTTTTCAAGGGATCCAAGAATCCCCACTTCCTTTGTCCTTCACCAAAACTCGGTTTGAATTGAAGGACGAGGAGTCCTACAAGATGTTCAAGCTCCTAAACCGGGAGTTCACCCTGGATGTGGACGTAGCCACCTTGAACTGCGGCATGAACGGCGACTCAGCTGTCAATGGCCTCAAACTCATTTTCAGTGGCAAATGGCATGTAGGCACGGAAGCGCAGCTTTCTCGGTGAGGCGCGGTTTACTTCATCGAGATGGACCGGCTTGGCGGCCAGGGCCCAACCAACGCCGCCGGCGCCAAGTTCGGCACCGGCTACTGCGATGCCCAGTGCCCCCACGAGAAATTCGAGCCGCGGCAGAGACGGGACGCGGGACGGAACTAGGTTATCCGGTGCCCGGTGCTCATCATGTTCCAGGCTCTTGACTATGGTAGAATTTGTGCAGGCAGTTTTGGTCATTGCCTCCGGGTTTGCCACGGGCTTCTGTTTCCTTCAATGGAACCAGTGTTGATTTTGAGCTTAGCACCGATTTCGAACCTGCCATTGGTTTTCTAGTGACCGGCTGGCTGGCTGCCTGCTTGGTTGCGTGAGATGTGTACAAATTTACTTGCGCAGGTGCCCGCGTGCGGGCAGGCAGGCAAGCAAGCAGGCAAGCAGGCCGATACAGCTGCTTTCATGCGCTTGACATGTTGGAGCTGTTTGAAGGAGGAAACCTACGGCAAGAGTATCAACGCTGTATCCTCCCTGCGCCAACAGAGTCCATGCCAAATTTGATGTGTCAATTTGTCCAGGGAGTGGGACATGTGACGCCCATGGGTTTCATTTGTTGGCTGAGCCCAACTTTGTTTCTTCTTCCCCTCAATGTGCTCAGAGTCTCGTACTACCCTGTTTTCAGGTTCGCGAGGCGAGAGAGCGAGAGCGCGTGAGAGAGTCACCTAGTCAACCTCCACAGCCCCTCCTACTGGAGGAAACCAACTCCTCCCTGGGCATTTGCTGCGTCGAGATGGACATCTGGGAGGCCAACAAGCGGGCAACCGCCTTCACGCCCCATCCCTGCAGCACCGAAGGCCCCCAGCGCTGCGAGGGCGACATCGATTGCGGCTATGGGGACAATGGGGAGCGGTGGATGGGGCTTTGCGACAAGGAGGGGTCAGAGTCTGCATGGGGCTGGCCAAATGTCGATTTTCTCTTTGGAGCGGGCTTTGAATCAAATCAATATTCGCGTTGGCTAGAACTGACACATTTTCCAAAAAGCATTTGCGCCGATCAAGAGGGCTTCAGGAACTTGAGCACTTGGCACAATTTTTAGCAAACGACTCGGACGTTTGCAAATACAATTCGCCCCATTCCCTTAAATATCAGTGCTTTGTCACTCGCTGAATCTCCTGGACCCTGGCCGTCCTGCCTCCCCATAGGCCGTTCATTTGCAGGACGGCTGTGACTTCAACGCCTACCGCATGGGCGCGCAGGGGCACTATGGGCCCGGCCCAGACTACGAGGTGAACTCAGACCTCCCGCTGACCATCGTGACCCAGTTCCTCACCGACGATGGCACCGACGAGGGCAACCTGACAGAGATCAGGCGGATCTACGTGCAGAACGGCCAGGTCATCGGCAATGCAGAGTCCCAGATCCCCGGGGTGCAGCTCGGGTGAATGGTGGGGATGAGTGGAGCTGGAGTCGTTTGGGCCTTTTCCAGTGTTTCCCAAAGGCCATGGGGCAACATCTATTTGAATTGGATGCTATGGTTCCCATTTTCACAAATGCACCAGTGAGGAACGGGAGCACGATGACGGACGAGTTCTGCAATGCACAGAAGAAGGCCTTCGAGGATTTCGACCACCACCAGCAGAAGGGCGGACTCAAGTCGATGGGGGAGACCCTGAAGCGGGGCATGGTGCTCTCGGTGTCCATTTGGGACGACTTTGCCACCCACATGGCCTGGCTGGATGCGGCCTTTCCTCCGGGGGAGGACCCGGAGAAAAGGTACGGGGTACTTCGGGGGCCCTGCAACGCCACGCTGGATCACCCGAAGTTTGTGCGCAGAGACAACAGCCAGGGGTACGTGCCAGGCTTAGGGGTTGGAGTCATTTGCTGGTTTATGTCAATGTGTGGAAGGGCGGTGCAAGCAGCAAATCGTGAAAATACGCTTCCATGCTTGTTTGAGGTGAAATACTACAACATCAAGTACGGCGAGATCGGTTCAACCTTTGATTCCGGTCGACGGCTTGATCCCCTCCATGTTTGAAGCCATTTTAGCCGCACAATTCAGATGCATTCTGATGCGACATATCTCAGGGGACCCTAAACGTGTTCCAATTGTTCCAGCTTGCACCAAAGGAGTATCATGTGTGTAGCATCCCAGTTGGGGTCACCCAAATATCAATACTGTAGCTTGTGCAGAAACTGAATGTACAGGCAAGTTTACAATGCTCTTTGGCCAGTGCTTCGGCTTGACTGCAGCCGGATCTGCTTGGTGCACCGGGCTCAGGCGGATTGCCAGGCAAGTGAACCAGGATAGTCCGAAAGCTTCAATTTGCGGCCATGACGGTTTGAACACAGCAGATCCGGCGCAGTTGTTGCTCCAGCAACTCTTGGCGGCCGAAGGGGTGGAACCCCCGTGCCGCCGAGCAGCCTGCAGGTCCATTGACGCTTGAGAGGGAACGAATTTGCTATGAAACTGACCACTAAGAGCCGTTTAGGTTCTGGAAAAGGAAGCCTACAAGGTAAACAATCGTTTGTGGGTGTTTGCCGTTGACATGCTTGAATGGCCAAATCCGTCAGTCATGCTTTTGTTGCTTTCTACAGGACCTCAGCTCTGTTTGGGATGTGGGGCAGGGTGCCACATTGGACACGAGCTGGCAGCAATCATAGCTTGTCTCGACGAACTGAGATGCTATTACCTTTTTATGGGGAATCACACTCAAACAATGGTTGGATCTCCAATGCCCACCAAGATGGCCTCAAGCAAGATTCATGGCCTGCTGAATGCGGGAAGTGTCAAGGACTTGAGGCCAAAGTGCGCTCGAATTTGACCGCTGCTGGGCGAACATGCCCCAGTCACTGCAGTCATTGGATCGCTCAGCAGCCCCCTTCCGTTTCCCTTGCGCAGAGTGGGGTGTCCAGCCAACCTGGGCTCCAAAGGCGTCTACGACTACCAGCTGTTGGTTGGTGCCCGAAATGGGCACAAATGAGCCCCCCTTCCTGGTGCAAGGCCTTGTTTTGAAAGCTGAGACCACAAAAAAACCTCGGTCTGGCAGACCTCTCCAAGTGGACAGGTGAATTCGGGTCTCACTGCTAGGCATGGCCGGATCTGTGCCATGCAATGACCAAACAATGCGCCCAGGTGATCACACTGCCTTCGATTGTTTGTTAAAGCCACTATCTGCAATGGGGGTCCGTGAACGTATACATTTGCGGCAGTAAAGGTTGCCGTTTGTGTCCAGGCATGAGCTTGCATGTTGAAGAACTTGTTATTCAAGCAACCACCAAACCATACCCCAGGTTATCTTGTCTCCCTTTTGATTTGGACAGTCTAACGCCAGGAATTCTTTGGGTTGCTCCACTGATTATTTGCGGTCGCATCGCGACGACCAGTTGCATCTCAGCCACGGCCAAGGGGCTGTTGGCACTTGGCAACCGGCTCGGATGTACTGAGGGGAAGTTGCTCCACTGCCCTTGCACCACGAGTCAGACCCCCCCCCCCCCCGACGCCTTGGATGTGCAATATGCCTTTCGGCGACAATCTGAAGCAAGCATGCCAGCCAAGCATCGCATGGCAAGGGACACTTAGCAAGTGCTATTGTTCTGTTTCTTCTCAATTTCCAGAAGATACTTGGGGCTGTTAGGCATATTTGCCCCAGGCTGGAGCAATGGGACTCCATTGCTGGCCATGCCTTGGCCAGGCCCACATCGTCAACGACCTGCTTCGCGCCCATGCTGCGTACGCTTATGCGTAAAGCCGCCATGCCATGATGCCTCGGCTCGGAAAACGTGCACGTGCCGCGTGCTGGCGCTTCACTGCAGAGAGGGAGAGAGAGAGAGAGAGAGACAAAGCCTTGAGTGTTTTGCGAGTAGCGGGGAGCGAGGAGGCCGTTACAAACTCGCACCTGACCCATGAAAGCAGCGGCACTTTCTCGAGGTACCAACAGAGCGGCATGCTATTGACTCTGCGTTTCTTCATTCCACCAGCTCAGATGACTATTTGTCATCCCAATCAACGGAGGGGCAAATCCTTGATTTGTGCTTGTAAGGATTCAGTGCGAATCATTGGGGGCAACTGCCAATTCCAGCCGTTTTCGGCTGGAGTAGCCTTGACCAATCCAACAGCTGAAAGTGACCCAGATGGGCTCCGGAGTGGTTCAGAGCGGCTCCGGGTTGGGGTTCCCGTAAGGTCCCGGAAGGGTTCCGGGTGTTGGGAATTTCTCCAGTTTTTGGGTGGGGGAGAACCTCCTTTTGATTTTTTTGGCAAGCCAAGAAGAACCCACATGCTTTGGAGGGTTCCCACAGCCTTTCAGACACGCCCAATTGTGCATGACCAAAGACGGCAATTGCACTCGGTTCATTCCGCAGTCCAGGAGTGTGTGCCCGGCCAGCTGCCGCGCTGCGCTGATGCGGTGGGAGGGAGAGGGTTGGAAGAGCAGTCGAGGGATGTGGTTTCTGCCAGCCGCAGAACCATGAATACGCAAAGTCGGCGGTTTCCCTTCAATTTTCTGTGAGACACCCCGACTTTTTTTAGGTTTTTTGGCCTCGAGCCTTGACACGTGACGTGCAGCCTTGTCGGCCGGCTTTGTCGGGAGTGCAGATTTGGGGCGTTTGACGCTTGGAGCTGGCCCGCGGCCTTGGGTTTTGTCTCGAGTGGCTCAGGGGTGCAGGCTTCGGTTAGGGTTCATGGCTGAGATTCATTGAGGTTTAGGGCTGAGTTTGGCCTTGGATTAGCAGCTGTCATAGTTGCTCTTGGGTTGTGGTCAGTGGTTGGGTTGGTTTTGGACAGTTTGGGGCTGGTTTCCGAGCATTGCCCCAAACCAGAACACCAGAGGTGCCAGGATCAAACCCACGCCAGGGCTGAGACAAGAAACAGCAACGAAACCTTAGGAACCCCAGCATACTCAGAGGATCCCAAGCTCATTCCACGACTGTGTGAGCGCACCAGGCATTGATCCATTCATCCAGGAGGCTTCCTCAGGCATCAGGAATGCAATGCAACAGAGGCATAGATAATAGACAAGCACATCCATGATATGCACACAGATCTGCCTAAAGATGCTTGGAGGACTTTCTGGATTTGGCATGTCAAAGAGGTTGGATCTGAAAAGTGTGGCTGGGAGGTTGCATCACTGGTGTCCCTGGACGGCCTGGCGGAGTATCTTCTGGCCGTGTTCTCGGGGCAAACAAAATATAGAGAGTCCCATCGCGTCCCCACCTCGGGCAAAGGGAAGCTTCGGAAGAACTCAACTAGAGCCAAGCACAGATGCGACTTGCACGGACCCCCTCAGAAGACAGGAGCCTTGTGGATACCTTCCATGCTCTTTTTTTGGTCCGTGTTTGCTCTTGTAGCGGAGCGCATGTGTCGGGAGCCAATTGCAGAGTCATGATCAAAACCGGTCGATCAAATTTGTCTCCCTGCCAGCAACAGTAAATGATGGAGAATGGCAAGGCAGCACCAATGCCAGACCCAATTCAAAAAGACCGATTTGGTTGATCTGTTTTTCCATTCAGGGATTTGGCAGGTCCGAGGTGGATGGAGTTCACTGGTTCTATTTGGTTCTATTCCTTTCCCTAGCGGAATCCATGATGTTTCCAAAAGGAAGCCTCTGATGGCCGGATGTGGCCGGCTTAGACGTTTTGGCGCGGCCCCAGGATGCGCTGGAGCGGGGCGTGGCCAGGCCGACCCCCGAGCGCCTCTCGAGGCACGGATGGGGCAAGGGTGAGAATACAAAGAACAGACGAAACTGCTGAAGAAGAAGAAGAAGAAGAAGAAGAAGAAGAAGAAGAAGAAGAAGAGGCGGAGGAGTGCGCGTGATTGATGCATGCAAGTAAAATAGTGTGTGTGTGTGTGTGTGCGGAGTGGCAGAATACCCTGTCACCACAAACCCGTTTTTCATCAGCAGGGGCGTGCAGCACCTTTGGCATACTGCACGCAATGAAGCTATTGCCAAAGGTGGGAAGGGTGTCCAGACGTGGACACCTGTACCTGCTTCAGTGATTCTGAAAGTTTTTTTGGCCCCCTTGGTTGCGTCGCTGTTTGTGCTTCTTGTTCTTTCGGGTAACGTGTTCGCTGCTAGACGGAAACCAAGTGACTGCAAGCCAAACCTACACCCACTCGAGACTCATCAGTTGTACTCGAGACTCATCAGTTGTACTCGAACGATTGGCATTCTCCCTTGGGAGTTGAAGTGTGATCACCCCATTTTGGGGGAACCTTGGGTGTACCCATCGTGTGACCCTGGGCCGGTTCGCCGGAAAATTTGACCTCAACGTTCTTTTCGCAGTCCAGCGGAATTTCACGTTTAAGCAGGAACGAGGCTTCACTAAAGGGATGACAGCCACCTCTTCATAGCTACGTTTCACACACCTGGGCGCCGCTGCTTGCCGATTCCTTTGTGCTTTGCGTTGTGTTGCCGTTCATCAGCACGTGGTCTTCCGGATGCAAAAGGTAGTGCACGCCCCTCGTGGAGGGGCGTGTGTGTGCGGAGTGGCAGAATACCCTGTCACCACAAACCCGTTTTTCATCAGCAGGGGCGTGCAGCACCTTTGGCATACTGCGCGCAATGAAGCTATTGCCAAAGGTGGGAAGGGTGTCCAGACGTGGACACCTGTACCTGCTTCAGTGATTCTGAAAGTTTTTTTGGCCCCCTTGGTTGCGTCGCTGTTTGTGCTTCTTGTTCTTTCGGGTATCGTGTTCGCTGCTAGACGGAAACCAAGTGACTGCAAGCCGAACCTACACCCACTCGAGACTCATCAGTTGTACTCGAGACTCATCAGTTGTACTCGAACGATTAGCATTCTCCCTTGGGAGTTGAAGTGTGTGTGTGTGTGTGTTTGCGTGTGATTTTTGGTCCGAGTTTGTTTAATCTGTGAGAATTATTTGTGTTCTGAGGTTCTGTGACCATAGCGCGTTGGGCCTTTACGTGCGAGCAAAACTTGACGGATTGCAAGGCCTTTCAGCGTTTGAATCACATCATCCCTGGATTTGATTCCTTCTTGAGCTGTGTTCCTTGCACACCACTTGACTTGTGCGTCAACTTGCGAGCCCAAACCCAGCCTGAGATGCCTGTGCACCCTTGCTGCACAAGCCTTGGCAGGCTTAGCTTCAGGCCCAGTTTGGACATGCAGCACTGCCAGACGTGCAGCGGTCTTGTCTCATCGCGGACTCCGTAGGTCGCGCTCCTTTCCAAGGCTAAAACGGTTTTACCTTTTTTAGGTGCACCTTGCGGCTCGGCGCCCGGCAGGCTCGGCTGGGCGCCGGCGGCGAGCGCGCTGCAGAGCACCGCCGGCGGAGGTGCGGCTCAGGGCGTGTGTAAGTCACGAGGGTCTCGATTTTTTGATTGTTTCAAAGGGGAACCAAAAGGCTTGCTGGCACAGCTCACTGCAGGAGGCATGGCTGTGGAAAATTGTGGGGTTGGAGGTGGCCACTTTGATACCAATTGTTGGAGTCCCCTTAGAAGTAGAACAGTGATCGTGGGGATGGATCAACCACTTGTGTATCAAAGAGGAAAGACACCATTTTTCACTTTTCTGTGGGAACGGAACGGGTGCAGAGGTCATTCCGGCGCAGGGTCTCTGCTCACAACTCGTTGAGGGAGTCCTCTGACTCAGCACGACGAAAGTGATGCACTGCGGCTCAGCAATTCACGGAAACTGTTGTGCTCGGGTGTGGCAACTCAGACACAAACATCAGCCTCAAGAGCTTCCTTGTTGGACAAGCAAATCACTCCCAATCACACATGAGGCAGCAAGAAAGCCAAACAAAGCCAAGACATCAGTACATTCCCTGCCTTGCGCGCATTGGCAACCTTTCAAGTTTCAGTTTCAACAGGTGATATACATTCAGCACGTACACACTCAGCCATGGACTTGGTGAGACAGGGACGTTTAATTTACACGGTTGTGGCACCTGCGGCTAGTTTTGGTTGGGTTGCGGTTTGGAGGTTGAGGGGTACCTTCCCATGAGCAGTTCAAATCCCCGAACCAGTCACGAGTCCAAGCCACTGGGCGGGGCTCAGTGCAGTCCAGGCCTCTTCGAGCTGGGCGGCGGCTCCGGTGCCGGCTTCCAGGCCAATGGTGGGTTCGGGCCGCGAAGGGCTCGGGTGCCCGCGAGGAAGCGCCCCGTTCTGTGCTTTGGGAGTTGGGTTTGTGTGCTGTTCTCCGAGATTTGGGCCGTTGACGAATCTATGGATCAGCCTTGAGGACCCTTTGCAATGAGTGTGGACTGGCTTTGGCTATGTGTTTTACCTCCGACCCGTGGCCTTGGCTCGGCAAACTGCCTCCTTAGAGGTTAAGCCAATATTTTTTGGACCTGGATCTGACATTCACTTGAATCGGCATAGCCACTATGGCTAGATAACTCCCATTGTTCAGGAACATTTGCAGAATAGGGACAGTGATTTGTTGCGCAATTAGGCTGCAGCCTGTTGATATGAGACGGGGTCAAAATGAACATGAATCATATTCTGACGGTATTGTGTGTAGTGCTTCCCATGCAGTTGGTATCGTGTTTGCTGTTTCCCATGCAGTTTGCGTGGAAAGCGACGGGGAACTCAAAAAACATACCCTTGCACAATACCCCCGCAAAACACAAACGGCTCACTAAACACAAAGCCAGGCCGTGCTTTCAATCCTGCACAGTTGAGTGTCGTAGGCATTTGGAACCTTCGAGTCTGTGTAGCCGCAAGGACGGCCACACCGAAACGATTCACGTCTATGGCCGACTTTGATGGCTGGCTGGCAGCACGCACCA